ACGGTCCTAATGGTATTGCTATTGATGATGAAGGGTATATCTTTGTATCGGCTAATGATGGAGGTACCTATTATCTTCATGTATTGAGTCCTGACAGGAAACAAGTGAAATTGATCTCAAGATTATCTAATCCATGGGGTGTAGCATTGGATAAGGATGGATATATTTATGTTGCTGAGTGTGGAAACAATTGTATAATGAAATATTAAAATAATAATTCAATAAAACTGCAATTAACGAGATACACTACAACTAATCTTACAATTTTTGTATAAAGTGTTTTGTCACTCTCTATCTATTTCCCTTCCATCACACGCTCACACTTTTTTTTCCTTTCTCTCTTCTCTACTTTAAGTGTTATTAATAGATTAAACTAGCTGTTTCTAAATAATCACGTAAATATGCAACTGCTAACGGCTGACGTCTTGACACAATATTAACCAGTGTTGCTGGTACTCCTCCCATATCAACCTATTCAATGTATGTCATGTTTGACTCCACCCACAACCACACCCACCTGTACAAGATATGAATTACTATCTCCAAATCTTAGCTTTAATAACTCAAGGTTCCGTAGCTATTGAAGTTACGAGAAATAGAAAAAAGAAATTAGTAAAAAAGAGATAATTATTATGAGCATTGATAATATTATTGGGGTATTACTTCTCTTGTAACATCATAGTCAAGTGATAGTAATAATACTCATTCACAAATAGATCCTGACCACCATAGATGTGTGAACCAATAAGCTAAAAATAGAAATACATGTACAGCAACTGTGTGGAGCTCATAATTCAGTAATCTGTTATCAGAATCACCTCAAACTTGCTACGCAGCATAAGGACATCAATGTATATCAGAAAATGTAATAAAAATTGGGGGGTGGTTTTTTGGCCATTTTTCAGAAAAAAGCATGGGCTATAGTACAGGGTATCTTTCAGATTTTGGCAATTTTCTTAAAATGGCCGTAACTTGAAAAATTTAGGTCGGAATCGGCTCAAACTTTCTACATAGCATAAGGACATTAATATGTTTCAGAAAATGTAATAAGAAATTGGGAGTGATTTTTAGCCATTTTTCAGAAAAAAACCAAGGGCTATAATTAGTAACGCGGTAGCGTTACTAAGTAGGACTCACCCCCACTTCAAAATGGCTGCCACGACTTTTGCAGCCTTGCTATACCGGGAAAACGAGCTCCTATGCTTACCAGACTTTATAGAGGTCCTTATCTTGACCAGAGGACTCCATTGGTACCACTAGTGTGGCTCTAAACCTTGTCTGAGAGGAAAGTCAAAAATCCGGAAAACGGCCGTTTTGTTCAGCCACCTTTTTTCATCATCTTCATCATCATCATCATCATCAAGT